GGGGACGACTTCTGCTGCGTGGTGGCATCGGAGTGGGGACAGACCCCCACGGTTGGTGGCACCAAGGTGGGGACAATCCTGCTGGGTAGGGACAGTGGGTGGGGACAACTGACCGGTGGCATCGGCGCAGGGACAATCTCTAAGCTGGTGGCATCAGCGTAGGGATGGTCCCCGTGGCTGGTGGCATCAAGGTGGGGACAATCTCCCGGCTGGTGGCACCAGGGTGGGGACAGACCCTCTGGCAGGTGGCATCAGGGCAGGGTGGTGGCACCAGGTTGGGAAGAACGTCCTGGCTGGTGGCATCAAGGTGAGGACAGCATCCCCAGCCCCCATGACTGAGGTGGGGACATTCACCTGGGGTGGGTGGCATCAGGGTGGGGACAAACCCCCAGAGTGGGGACATCCCTTATGGGTAGCAGCATCATGGCAGGGACATCCCCACCTGACAGGGCCTCGTGGTGGTGATGCTGGTGGTGATGCTGGTGACGGTGGTGATGATGGTGATGATGGTGATGATGGTAATGATGGTGATGATGGTGATGGTGGTGACAGTGCTGATGGTGACGATGGTGACGATGCTGGTGGTGATGCTGGTGGTGATGCTGGTGATGGTGGTGATGATGGTGACAGTGGCAATGCTGGTAATGATGCTGGTGGCGATGCTGGTGGTGGCGATGCTGGTGATGCTGGTGATGCTGGTGATGCTGGTGATGCTGGTGACAGTGGTGATGGTGATGATGGTGATGATGCTGATGGCAATGCTGGTGGTGGTGATGCTGGTGATGCTGGTGATGCTGGTGATGATGGTGACAGTGGTGATGGTGATGATGGTAGCGATGCTGGTGGCGATGCTGGTGGTGATGGTGGTGATGGTGATGCTGGTGATGCTGGTGACACTTGTGACGCTGGTGACGGCGGTGGCGGCGGAGCCCCGGGGCGGGCAGAGTTAAGGCCGGGCGCTCTCATTCCTTCCACTCCCGCCAGGAATTCCTGAGCTGCCTTGGCCGCTTGCCGGGCCTCCCCCGACCGCCGTT